TTGAAGTGTTACATATGACACAAACATAAAACTGAATGATGTTGTCGGATCCTCATACGTTAAAATTGATGGGTGAGTCCATCGTATTACTTCAAACATTATTTTTAGTGGATGCCCATATTTAAGTAAGCACAGAGTTTTATTTTAAAAGTATTTATTTCATCTAATGGCCTAGTGTTTACTCAAATACTGGTATCCAATAAAAACAATGTAATAAAAATATTGGATTAAAAAAATAAAACCATTAATTCTTTAAAAAAGAGAAATGTTTTCAGTCACTTCTTTCATATGCCACATCCCTTCAGGATATGGACTATCATGGCTCTCCACAACTTCCTATTTCTTGTGGCCCTTAGCAGTCTTCTTCCCTTTGCTAAGTCTCTGCCACTCCTCACCCATTCCACCATCTATTTACACAAGCTTGTTAGGTAGGTGGCTTGCTGTCTTCCCTTATCTCTTTTACACTCAGTATGCGCTGTGAGGGTTAAGTTTGCCATGCTCTCCTTCCTCATAATTTGTCCTAGAAATTTCAACTATCTCTTCTTGATTCTGACTAAGTGTTCTTTATGTTGCCATTTTCTTTAAGACTTCCTGGTTGGTTACTCGTTCCATCCATAAAATTCTCAGTGTCTTTCTGTAGAACTACATTTCTGTTGCCTCTAGTTTTCTCTTCATCTATCGAGAGATTGTCTAGCACAGCATTTTTCAATTTTTTTTTTTACTGCAACCCACAACAAGAACCATATTTTGCATTGCAATCCATTATACATACATATAATAAATATATAATAAATTAAAGAAAAACTCACTAGTTTCATTTATTTAGCATCAAAAATTTATATATATATATATATATGATCTGCACATATTGGAATTACATGTATCTATTTGTATGAATATAAAATTGTTACTTAAAAAAAACAAAAAAAACAAACTAGCCCATTCTTAAATTTTGTCAAAACAACATCCAACTCACTGAAAATTCCAAAACTTTAAATGAAAAAAAACACATTATCTTACTACCACAGTGTTGTGGTGTCCTCCCTCTAAAGAGTCTATGTTGGACTCTTCCGCCTACTATAAGATTAGTAGGAAAGAAGGCCTTGGGGAATAGTCAAATAGATTCAACAATGGGTCAACAGACACACACTCACTTGTCGTGCAATACTCTTCTGTTGTACTTACTGTTTAATATATGGTATATCTGCAACACTTGTTTTGTTATTTCTTAACCATTTACTTGGTCACAACACACAGAAAGAATATACCAGTACCTGACTTTGACATATTCACTTTTAGCCCTGATGACCTTTGTAGGTAAATTTTAGCGCAAGGTCTCTTTGCAAGAGAGAACCTCAGTGAAAAATTTGTGATGACTTATGAGTGCAGTGTAGAGTTGTTAATATTTTGCACTCACTTGTGTATTTTTGTTTGTTTTTTTCCTTTCATTTTTGATGTGAACCATTTTATTTACTTATTTTGTGACCCACTGAAATATCGGGACCCATAGTTTGAAAAAATCTTTGTTTAGCATTCACTGTTGTATACAATAGGACTGATATTACTCTTTTGTTTTTCTTTCTAGTGAAATTTTTCTGTTTCTAAATATTTTGCTTAGCTTTTGGAAGGCATCTTTCACTATTGCAATGCACCTTTGTATTTCCTCCCAAAATATATGATGAGAATTAGAATCTTATTGGAAACTATTCCATTCTAAGCTACTTAATTATCAGAGAGCACAGGACTTAAGTTGGGATCAAAAATAGATTAGTCAAAAATTAGTTTTGAAAATATTTAAGCTCTTTTTTTTTTTCTTAAGAAATTTTCTCTGATTTGGACGTCAGATTTAGATTCTTTTATGGAAATTAAGAATTATCAAATAAATATATTTGACTTGAAATGTTTATTTACATCATCTTTAGAACAAATGGGCAAATGTAAAAGACTATATAAATACTGAAAAGTACCAAGTGTTCCAAGAGATAGGACTCAAGATAAACCTTCTCTGTTGCTTGTGTGTGTGTTGACTGATGGAGGGATTCATTTTCTATGGCTTAACAATACTTGGCAGGTTATTTAGGGCCAGAAAATATTTTTAGATTTTAAGAATTCTTTTTTTGTAGGGAGATAATGTTTTACAAGCCTTATTAATTAACCCATAGCTGGGGGAGAGGAGGTGGATTCATAGCTTTCCCAAGAGTATTTTGCACATAAGGGAATATAACAAATCCAATGGGAATTGGAACTTAGCTCTCTGATTAATAATTCTGAGCTATTATCCATTATACCACTAGCACATCAAAGCTTACAGCGTCAAGCAGTCACCCATCTAGGTACTGACCAGGCATGACATTGCTTAACTTTGGTGATAATATGGGAACTGGTGTTTCAACTTGAGGCCATAAGCCCTCCAAGAAATAGGATATAATAGAACATAGCAGAAATTATGATCTGGAATTTGAATGAGAGTAGTAATGGTACATTGAATCCATCAAAATTCAAAATGTGGAATTGATTCTAAACATTTCAAATACTTAAGTGTATTGCCCAGTTATAACAAATTTAGTATAAAAAATAAAGACATTAAACACAGGATAGGTAGCACTTGAGATGATTTTGTCTAACATCAGAAGATGCAACAATATGAAAATATTAACTTGAAAACCAGAATCATGTTCTTAAATAGCATCATAAGATTGAAATTCTCACATGGATGTCATACAACTTGTTCAGAAATGTTTGTTTTCTCAGATAAATGAATGAAAATATTTTCAAGTGAATGAATCCTTCATCAAACCCCATAGACTGGAACTACATAATCACAAATAAAGATCTTTACCAAATATCGTTAATATTTATAATTTACTGTTTTTTTTTTTCTGACGATATCTAGTCTGATGCTCCCGCTATATATTCAAAGATTCTCGATAAAAGCCAAAGAATCTGCATTGTTATTGCTCCTGGCCTAGCACCTCAGCTTTAGTTACTTTCCCATCACCGTAATGTAGCTTCTCTGTGCCTTTTCTATCAATACTTTCATGGTAAGTTCTGGTGAACTTTCCTCTATGGTACCTAGACTTTATGAATTTAAGTGCAGTACTAGATTGGCATCAAGGTCTCATCGTTTTACAGTTGAAATGGCTAGATATAACCATAAGTGCTATGCTAATAATTTTTTCTATTGCACTTCTCACTTGTGTAACACTCTTCTGGCTTCTTGCTTCCCAGTCAACATTGATCTTCAAAGATTTAAATCAATGTCATCTGTTATCTTCCATTTTCTTAATTCTTGTTCTTTTATTGTTCTCTCCTTAATAGTCCTTTTTTCCTTGTATTCTCTAACTCTCAGTAACATTTCTTGGGGGTGAAATGATAAAAAAAAAAAAAACACAAAACACCATGTAACTTGAAGACTTCAAACAGCGACAACAGCTAAAATGGATAGCACATGTAACTAGAAGTGAAAATAATGATATAATCATGTTGACTTTCAACACAACTTTAAACAAAAGGTTTGGAAGGAAACTCCCATCAGTAGTTTAAAGAGCAATAACAATTAATAGACTTCAGAAGTCTAATTTCCAGAAAAAAACTTTTTATAACTTTCAAATGATAGTAACATTCTTTAATCAATGAATTCTGAATGTTTTCTGTATAGAAACAGTTATTTTCACCATTACCATATTCCTCTTAGTAGTACTAAGTCAATATTAAGTGTCCCAGGTTGAATAATCAAGAAACTTAAAAGCATGGAACATGTCATGTGTATGAACTTGAAAAACAAATTTAACTAGCTTATAAAATCTTTTCAATAGAAAAAGTTCTCAAAAATGTATTATGATTGCAAAGATGTGACCTAATAAGAACTTGTTTACCTGTAGATAAATTCATAAAATCTTCGTGCGCATAACAATAAGTACAATAACAAAGGCACTCATTATTTTCTCACAATCTTCACATTAAAATGTGTGTGAATATATATATATATATATATATATATATATATGTGTGTGTGCGTGTGGGGGGCATGATTATGAGCAAAGGAAAATGACAAGCCAAGTTCAAATTCCAGAACAGTGTTATGTTTACTAATGCCCTTGATAAAGGTATGAACCTGTCTCTTCCTATAGTGATAAGTAAAAGAGATGGGCAGAGAAAGCATTCTAATCTTTGAACACTGTAAAATATATTAAATTCTAATGGTGTAAAAAGGATGCTAAGTGATTTAATTTTTTGGCCTATTAAACAAAAGAAAAGTTAACAATGCTATTGATTTTTTTTTATTATTTAATTTTATTTTGTTGATTTATTTTTAAAGGTCATGTGTTAACAGTTTTCAAAATTTTTTAGGATCATGTATAAGAATGTTGACTTGAGAAAGGACCATAGAATCAATAATTGCACTTTCAAGAATTTTACATTGAACTTATTTTCTCTTTTAATAAGACAGATTTTTGAGATTAAAATTGTCATTGAAATTATATATATATACATACATACACAGTGTATTTCTATAGATGGATTCATTCTACTGTTGAGAACGACAGATGGTGGTTCAGTAAATTCTAAGTTTTTACTGATCCAATCAACCTGCACAAGTGAACTGTTTAAAGTGGTCAGTTGTCTGTGCCCTGCAAGACATGCTTTTTTTTTACTCATAGCATCATATCCATCCTGTACTTGTTCACTGTGTACCATCTTTCAGATGATACTGCAATAATAGGCTGTTTTTGTTTTTAGGATACAAGTTTTTCATCTACTACCGGCATGCTGGCTGTTGGCTCGGATAAAAAGCCCATTCACCCTTTCCAGACTGGTTTGGATATAGTTTTCCTTCTCCTAGACTATATGGTCTAGTTTGTCCAGCTATTTATCCATAGAGATGGATTCATACCTTTCCTAAGGGTATTTGTGCGAAAGTGAATGTAATAAACTTAACTGGTATTTGAACTGGATTCTTCTTCTAAGCCATTATCCATTGCACCAACTGTACATTTAAGCTTACAGCCCCTGGTATTCCAAAGCAGTCACCTATCTTGGTACTGACCAGATTCAACATTGCTTAACTTTGGTGATCATGTGAGAACTGGTGTTTCAATGTGATATGGCTGTAAGCTATATACATACACATGCAAAAGATAATGTAAGTACTCATGAGGAATAAATATATCTAAGCATTATATACGCCTATTTTTAGTTAAGTCTTTTATTCACATAATGATTACAAGTTTTTAGGTGAATCATCCACTTTTCTATTAAATCAGTGAACAAGTATGATGTCATCATATTTGTTTGATCTTTCATTTGGCCCAGATAAACTTTCAAATACAATTTCTTTTCCACCTGATCTTCAGGTTACTCTGACCATATAACATTGTCCTTTTTACTATAATATTTCTCTTATCCTTGAGACAGTTTCACAAACATTTATTTATGCACGAGCAAATAACCTGCCATCTTCAATATTTTCATAGATTTTGTTAAAAACAAAATTCCTACAAATATGTTTAAAAAAAAAAACTCAAATGTGAAGTGATCTTTATATGTAACAGAAGATATAATAAAAAATAAAATAAAATTTCATCTTAGCTAATAATTAGATCTTCAGTCTATATTGTAAATGTTTTGTTACCTTTACTTTGAGATATATAATGTTTATGCAAATAAACACAGAAGCATTCAAAGTTTCTTGGAAAAGGTATGAATCCATCTCTTCACCCAAAATCTATGGGATAAGTAGTAGGGTAAACTGGAATCCTCAGCCTTGGTTGGAAACAAATCTAGAATAAGTACAACTCTGAATTCAAAAAAAAAATTATAGATGGAGAGACAAGTTCCAATTTTCAGTCAGGTTTGTTATATTCACTTACATGCAAATACCTTGGGAAAAGTATGAATCTATCTCTTCTTCTCCATCTATGGGTTAAATAGTATGACTTGTATCATTATTATCTAAAAAAAAAAAAAAAATCTTACAAAAAATATTTTTTGGGTTTAAATAATATGCAAAAGATTGATCAGCTGTAAAAAAACAAATCAGTCAATCAGTACTTGCTATAAAAACCGTAGCATGTTGAAGCCATGGCTCTATTCTCCTCATGGAGTGTACGGAACAAGAGAGAGAATATATATATATATATATATATATATATATGTGTACTGACTTCAGTAAGTATAAAATATGAAAATCTGGTCCTTGTTATAAAAAAGCATCAAAAAGCATTTGATGGATGATCAGAAGAACCATTATAAAGATAAATGAATTGATGTGGTCAAGGTAAATGCCTTTTGGCAAGATATATAAAGTAACATCACAACACAATCAACTGCATATCATAAGCATTGTTCAGAAAGTTTACAAAAATATTTTGATATTGCTAACTTTTTATTTAATGTTTATTTTCAAGTAAAACAAGACATTTTTATAAAATCTTTCTCGAATCAAACATTCTTAACTTGATAAAAATTTAACACGGTGAAAATAGCACAGAAATAATTATTTTTCCAATTGATTTACGTGTTTTTCTTTTGTTTTAAATGGCCTATCAACCTTTTGCAGATTATTTAAAATCAGAAAATATTTTCAGATTGCAAAAATCTTTTGGAGATAACGACTTTCACTGATATAAGTTCTACTAATTAACCCATAAATGGGGGAAAGAGGTGGAGTCATATCTTTCGCAAGATATTTGCATATAAGTGACAAATCTGACTGGAATTGGAACTCCACTCTCCGATTTTCAATTCCAAGTCATTATCTATTACACCACCTGCACATCCAAGGTTACAGAACCTGGTATTCACAAGTGGTCACCCATCAAGGTACTGACCAGGCTTGATGTTGCTTAACTTTGGTGATCATATAAGCACTAGTGTTTCAATTGATTTGGCTGTAAGCTGGATATCAGATGAAATATATAGAATTTGGAATGAGTATGTTTTTATAAGTATATTATTTTTTTAAACTGGTATAAATTGTGAATATATATTTTAGATGGTGAGGGTACAGAAAATACTGCAAGGATTTGAATTGAGGTATGCAGTTTAATTTTTAAACCACTGAATGAATTGATTCTTTTAAAATCTTATGAAATTGATAGAAATATAAATAGATATCAAAACTGAGATGAGGTATTGTAAGTATTTATGCTATTTACATTGTTCAGAGAGTTGTTCTCATCTTTGTTGTCACATTCACAATGTTTCAGCTATTGTACACTCCAGCCGTCTTCAGGTGATTGGCATTTTGAAGTGAACCCTTTATTTCATCCACTGGAGTAGATTGTTCTAGTTCCACGTGCCACGCCTCTTCAGTTTCAGTTATTTCCCTTTAGTAACTCTCTAAGTTTTTGTTCACTTCTATTGTGGCCAGGTGTTGAACTCGCAACACTTTGGTTGAAGTAATCCAGTGACTTCACCCAATGTTTTTATCCACTGGGCCATGTAAATAGTGTTAATAGTTTTAACTTGTGAAAATTTCATGGTTTTCTTATTTTAATATTCTGATGAATCTTAATTCTCAAGTTAATGATTGAGTAATAAGCACATGGTGAGTTCTACGACAAAATATCCACAGAAATTCCCCTATCACATCGTTAAATATTTGAACTTAATAACTTTAACAACATATTTCAGTAACAATCATACTGATCATTATTTTAAGAAGTGGGTACAAATGAAAAGATTTGAAATTGAAAACTTTTTCCGTTTTCACTGAAACAACCATTAAACACTTCTATTTTCCCTTCTTTCATTTTTTCACTGAAAACAAGTAGCGTCTTTTCCCCTCTTTCCATGTGATTAGAATGGAATAGCCTATTATTAATAATGACAGGAGATTTTAAACACTTCTTCACTTCTTCCTCTCTTTCTTTTTTTCACTGAAACCAAGTAGTGTCTATTTTCTTCTTTTCATTCAATCAAAATGGAATAGTCCATTATTTATGAGTTATTAGCAGGGCGTAATGTTTGTGTGAACTAATGAAGAGAGAGACAGGCACAATTATAAGAGGATTTTTATGATACAATTTTTTGTGCTTTAATGGAATTTGACCTTAATTTATGGAAATGTTTCATTTTTTAGAAAAATTAACATATAAAATTGAAGGAAGTGAATTGGCTCTATGATGGAGGGTCAATTTACAGAGGACATACGTACAATGTAAACCAGAACCATTGTTACACAGAAACAAAATGGTGGAAATCTTTCTGCAGTCTATGACATTTTCAGCATCACTGCAAAGTTTTGTCTGATTCAGTTCTATAGTTTAGGTGTGCCTAACATTTTAACAGATACCAAATTATATATTAAAATTTATCCTCACACTACACCCAAGTTTTGCTCATTCAGCCTGGGATTATTTGAGGTTATTATGCAATGCATTTCTTTTTTGCTTTTAATGAGATTCTCTTGAAAGATTCCGATACCCGAAGGCCTTTAAATTTGTCCAGCTTCCAGAAGCATGTTTGGGAATCATAATGCACATTCAAGAGCTTTCTTATCAAGAATACTGAATAGCTATAAAATAGAATTAGTCCTCAGAAATTCATAAGGAGACTATATAAACAAAAACAGCCACATAAATCATATTCAGACTTAAAAAAAAAAAAGTCTTAATTTATGTCTTAGAGAATAGGCTACTTATGTAAATGAGGCAATTTAAAAAAAACAAAAAAAAACTTCAGTTAATGCTTATGGCAAGACAAAAGCTACTACCTAAGTGGGAAAAATTCCTTTATAAAAATAATCACAAATAATGCTAAAGATATTTAAAGCTTGTGATCTTGAGAAAGGTAGGAGTTCATCATCTCCCCCCAGCTATGGATTAAATAGGAGGACTTGTATCTGGAACTTTCACTGTTATAGTAAAAAAAAAAAAATGTTAATGCAATATTCACTCAAGAAAAAGAACATGAATTAATCTTACATTTCAAAATGTTTTGGCTTTAAATAATCCACAAAAGGTTGATAAGCCATAAAAAATACAATATCAATTCCAGATTGTGAGAAGAACAAATATAATTTAAAGATAATTTTAAATCAAAATTCTTTGTCAAGGGAGTTTTTTTAATAGCCTTATTTTTAAACTGCAAATACAACTCAACGATTTACAATTCTTATTCAAAATAGTAATCTGCTTCACAAATGTTGGGTATAAATTTATTGATTTCATTTTAATACTGATCTTTATAATTAACTATTTATGCAACCAATAATATTATTGTCAGGATATATATTTTCCGGCTACTCCAAACATTATATTGTCGATACCTATGTTTGTGTAGAAACCCTGTTATTTTTAAACAGTATAAATTATGTCAATCAACCTGTGCATTTGAGAAACTTAATAAAAAAAACATGTACTCCTTTGTAGGAGAAACCATCATCTGATCTGGCATGTTTTAGATCACTCAGCCAGTTTCAATTACCCTCTTGAAAAATGCACATCATTTCATTCAGATTTTCTTGAAAGCCCATATCTGCTCAATTTTCATATCCAAAATATAATCAAAGCAATTTCTAATGAATCAGTAGGTTCACCATCTGACATTATTTCCTACTGCTTATATATATATATATATATATATATATATATATATATATAATAGTTGGCCACTAATATTTGAGGATACCCATCTACTAAGGCGGCAAGCCAATCCTTAGTGTAGACGCTCGCTCAGGCACATTTTGTGTTTGTTCAATGCCCACAGAGCCCACCTGTGGTTTATACACTGCAGCTATGCTGAGCAGACTTTAGTTACAGTTTCTAGGAAAGAGTGTGTTATATAGTGTGATCAACAATTTGAACATGGCCAGCACGCTCAAGCCCTTGGTTACGATGAATTTTGGCTTTGTGCTAGCACAGCTATCAAAGGCCCACAAGAATTCCATCTACCGAATTTCACTCACAAGGCTTGGGTCAACCTGTGGTATTGTTTTCAGGCACTTTCCAAGGTGTCACATGCTGTGATCGCCCTCAATCCAGTTTGATAACATAAAGAAGTTGCCTTCCTGACAAATCGACCACGGTGAGATTTGAACTCATGTCTTATGGTCAGAAAGCAAAAGTTCTAACCACTCGGCCACGCATTCATAATATATATTAAAGAAAAACAAAAACCATTGATGGAACCAATGGACAAGTTTCCAAAACCTAAAACTCTTATCCAGATAAAGTCTCAAACAAAAACAACAATACTGAAAAAAAAAGAAAAAAAGAAGCCTAAAAGCAAACTTATCTACTCAGTAAAGTGCTTGAAGCCAAGATTATCTAGACCAAACAAAGAAGGGTTAACAATGTTAAATCCTATGAAAGGGTAGATCTAGCCATAACCAGAGTTTTATTCTTATGTGATCTTCATATGACTTAAATATTCAAGTTGTCTGAAGATCGTGTGAAACTCTGGTTATGTATATAATTGCTGTATATAATTGAAGAGTGAATGGACTCTAGAGTTTCATAAATGAAACTCTGGACTTGAGATGCTAAGAGTAACATCAATCAAGTGACAAATTTTACTCACATTAATCATATATATATATATATATATATATATATATATATATATATAAAAACAAACACACAAATATGTGCAGTGTTCAGCCACTGTCAGTTTGGGGTTTTTTTGTCATTAAACAAAGCTTACAAAATTGTGGAAATTTTTTGTATATTCCATATTCAAAGCTCTACAGTTATTTGACCTTGATATCTCTAATAGGCAAACAAGTTAATTTTCATTGATTATATTTGAACTAATGTCCTCATCTTTGTTGTTATTATCACAGTTATTCAGCCATTATGTGCTCTGGCCTTCTTTACAGGACAATAGCCTAGTGGATTAAGATATTGGTTTATGAATTAGGGATCACAGTATTTGGGAGTTCATTGTAACCTAGAAAAGGTTACTGAATAGAATGAACACACTAAGTTTGGTAATGAATGATAATACTTAGGACAAGAACAACATATATAAGATTTGCCAGCAGCGCGTAGTAGTAGTAGTCAACTGCTAGAGGCGAGTCAAATAAATTCCACAATAACTCTCCAACTGCTGACCAACATACAGTATTTACTACTGTATTTATGTGAATTAGAACATACCCATTATCATCCGTAGGTATGCTACAACAACAAAACCTGACAAAGGCTGGAGAGCACAATAGATGAAACATGAAAACAACAACAACATAGATAACTCCTCAAACCAAAAAGGCAATGAGAAGGTAATTTTTCTTTTGTTACTGCATGCATATTTATAAACATAAACAATTTGTTCCATCACATGCTTGCTTTTTTTCTAATTACTTCCTCTATTGGTTATTTACACTATTCAGACACTTGTCCCCATCTTTGTTGTTGATATCTCAATATTTCAGAAAGGAGTAGTCGTCAGCTCTTGTGGAATGAAGTGAAAATACTGGACAAAGAAGAACACTGGGGAGTTAGACATCTAAAAAGAATTAGCATATTTGCTAGGCTATGAGGACCTTATCAGTAGGCATAGCATGGAAATAAATACAATATTGGAGCCACTAATAAAGAAAAGAAAATGATGGCAAGACTTCAACATCAGCAGTCAAATCCTGACAGACAGCAGCAATTGCAACTCTAATCAGTTTAAGTATAAATAGTGTAAATAATGATAATTCCTCATCCCAAAAATTTAGACAGAAATTTTTACATGAGATGTTACTTTTTAGCCTATTCATACATTTTTGTTTTGTTTTTTTTCTGCAGGTAATATTTCTTTATACAACTTTCATAATTTCTTTCATGGCTGATGCTAGACTTCAGGAGAGCAACACTTGACACCTTCTTGGGATCACATTTTCAACTGATATGAAATGAAATGAAGTGACTATATTGAATCAATTGCTACA